CCGCACCGGAGAGTTTCCCTTCCCCTGCAGCTCGGGAAGAGAAAGGACGACGGGAAAAAGGGGTGAGCTCGGGAGAGCGGAGAACTGCTAAAAATAAAGTTAACTGAGTTTGGTACGGACTTCCGTCTGGACTCCCCTCTCTCGACCTCGCGTTTGCGAGTGCTGCAGTGCCTTGTGGAACGGTAGGCAATACTGCCGTTCCGCAAGGCACTGCAAGACAAATCAGGTTCAACCTTCGAATGTCGCCGTGTTACGGAATGCTGCAACAACTTTATCTCGTGAAGTTGGTAGCGTCGGTGCAACGTCATTGCGCTGTACAACCAACTCAAGTTTTGGGGTGTCGTATGTGTAACAAGGGGTGTAACGTCTACACCCCCTTTTTTTAGAGTGTACACTTTATACAAACTTGATAAAAAAACAAATCAAACTCTCACCTTGAACTCCTAGGACCGCCGTACGGCCGTACTGCTTTCGGGCAAAGTCAACATAACGCTCGCCGTTTTGGGGTGTTGGGCTGTAATGTTTTCAGTGTTGTTTACACGCCTAGTTGTGTAAACCGAAATCGAAACACCGATTTTTACTACCCAAGTATTTTTATGACGATTTATCACTCGCAGAGCGTGTAAGAATATGCTAATGAGTGAAAATGGGGTGTAAAGAGGGTGTAATATTACATTTTCGCTAAGAGGTTATAACTTACATGATGTTTTTATCCAGCTCTTTGGCTAAATAGGGTCTTACTGGAAACAAAAAAATCGGCAGGAAGTTTCTCAGTGTGATGCATTGAGGTACAAACGACACATCTTCGTTGCCAGCCTGGAAAACGCAGTAAAGGTCTCGAACCGATCATGCTGTAGTCAAAATAATTGCTACTTTATTTCAATGCACCTCAAATACAAAATCAAGAAGAGAACCTGATGTGCACAAAGATGCTTCTCTCGCTGTACTGTAGCACAACTTCATACGTGTGATGATTTTCGCCAGACACTATCACGTATCGCACGAAATACAATTTATTTTTATAATCCTGATGTGTTTTCTTAGACCTGCCATGTTCCCAATACACACAACATTATAATCTTTCAATATGCACTTGCAGCGTCAATTGCCATCATAGCTGTGTTGGTTTATTTGTATGCCGACTGAGTAAACGTGATGACCCCTCCTATTACCTAGTTGGCAATTACGTGCACTATAGTTGTAAAGGCACAAGGGACATATGGCGCGATAGCAGCGCGAACGAGCAACTACATCCACTGAGCAACTACAACCACCGAGCAACTACGTCCGCAAATGCACCCATCTTGCAACGGCCTCCAAACCATCCTTCTACCCTTTGCTAAAAAAGAAACTAAAGTTCTCTTAAAAAAAAGGGGGGGGGGGAGGGGGGGGGGGGCGCTGCGGTAATAATGCCTCTTGCATTTCAAAAGAAAACGTAAATACTAATGAAAATAAATTCTAAGGACTGGTTTTCTTTAAAGGGCCGATGCAACGATTTTTGTACTCAGTTGCGCGAATACCGCTTACAACGGATCCCTGACGTTAAAGGGGTCATGAAACCCTTTTCCAACTTTTTTCTGTTTAGCTTTCCTCCTCCACTCATAAATCGCGCATTCCACCAAACAGTTCAAGAAGACGAAAAGAAGGGAGGCCCCACTCGCTCGGAATCTGGTTTGTCTACCCGGAGATAGCCATTGTCCCCCTAGAAGAGTATCCCGTCTCTCAAAATTCAGACAAAAGTTGCTTTCCCCACCCGGTTCATTCCGAAGCTGACAGTGCTGTTGAAGCTACGTGCTCCTTGGGCCAGCCACACTTGCCACGTGAGCGTGGCAAATGTGGCTGCAGAGAATGAAGTCAGGTGATGAAAGGGAGGCAGCTGATTGGTCCGGCAAGCGCGTAGCTTCGACCAAAATGTCAGCTTAGGGGTGAAGGGAATAAGTGAGGTCCGGTTGGCGTGTGACGTCAGTTTCGACCCGATGACGCGCTTTTGGGACCGCGGATGTATCACAGTGAAAAGGCAGAGAGGTTGCGAAGGGGAGGAGGAACGAAATAGTCCGCTCTGTTTTCAAATTTTCGCACTGAAAGTCAGGCTTTTGAGTTCCTACTTTTTTTCTTTTGGTACACTGAACGATGTGCTATTAATAAAATCCCAATCTAAACTGATTTATCCCAACCGAAAAATCGTTTCATGGGCCCTTTATTGACCTGTGAAACACCCGTTCGTTTTACATCACACGCAATCGAAGTCGCAGAAAAAATTAAAGAAAATGAGCAGCGTTCACTCTCTCAACTCGCAGCCAAAACAAGTGGCCACGAGATTTGGACCCGGTTATAAGCCGCCAATGTTGATTATAACCACGCGCTGGGGTAGGCAAAGCATAGGCCACGCGCTGAGTTCCAGACATTGTTATGGCTCGGCTACTTTCGTCGTTGCAGCGATTGGACACCGGACATTACCCGAATGCTTCTCGAGCTATCGATTTTTACGAGCCCAAATCGAGTGCCCACGCAATGCTCGGGTCAAGTCTATGAGTCACATTCAAATATCGTCACTGGGAGGTACTGCGACCACCCAGCTACGTCATCAAGTTTTGCGAAGGAGAGCTTTAATTAAAACGCTTGCTATTGTCCTCGAAATTACACCGTAACAGAGGAGTTTCTTGGCCCGTGGCATTGCGAGCGAGTATCGTTGAGTTCCACTAGTGCCAGTAAGCTCGTGTGAAGTGAAAAACATTCCAATTAAATATCGCTGCACCACCCCTTTAAAGTGTAATAGTTTGGCTGTTCTAACAAAAAATTGCTTATTGATAATCCTAAGATCGGAAACTATCTTAGATAGTTGCAACGGTATCTCAACCTCATTAGGTGATGATGTGAGAAAGTCATGAAATTTACGTGTGTAATGCACAGTGGCCGCCAACATGACCAGGCGTCAATGCAGACCACGGAGCCTGCAACACGGGAGGCATCACAGCGACAGTGATAACGCTTTAGTTCTGAAAGGCCCCTACTCAACAGTCAACGCGAATCTGATTGATTTGACGCGCACACTATTGCGGCGGAGGGTGTGCAGGTTTCGATCGTCGGGGTTGTGGAACACCGCGTAGACAGTAAAGCTTGCGCGTTACGTCACATGACATCACGTCCGGGAGGCCGGCGGGGGCGCTGATAGACCATTCGCTATATTACCCAAGCATGAAGGGGAATGTAGGGATTGATGTTCCACGCGACACACGCGTACGCCTTCCCCGTATAAAAGGTTCGAAGTAAATGCCCAGAATAAAGTGTTAACAAACACGCGTGCAAGATGCCATTTGTTTTAGGGATTTGCTTTAGAAAAGTTGCTGCTGCTGAGGCCAGCACGTGCGGCGCGTGGAACACCAATTCCTGCATTCTCCTTGATGATTGGGTAATATAGCAATAGGTCTATTGGATGCGACAACGCTGACGCGGCACTCGCATCCAATCAGCGCCCGTTCCGGCTTCCCGGACGTGACGTCATGCGACATAAAACGCAGGCTTTGCAGCTGTCTGGGAGGTGCTGGGTTGCGCGTCGACAAATTTACAGACAGCCACTACAGGGGCTTTAAACTCGCCAAACACAAAGTTGGAGCCGAAAGTTTGCGAAGCGGTTCGATTGGCCTTCGGCGACAAAAGCGCTGCGTCATTGTCGCGATAGTCCAATTGGCGCGCGCCGTGAGCTTCGACCTCTGCTTTGTATTTGACGAGTTTAGAGTCCGAGCTCTTACGTTTCACTTAATAATAATATTAATAATAGTGTTTATTTCCACCATAAAATGATGGTGGCGATCAGGAAAAAAAGCTCTGCGGTACAGCTTGACGCGGGTTCCTGACGGCCTACAGCAGCAGCGACAGAGTGGGGAAATAATACAGCAATCAAAAGAGAAACACAAATGTACAGAAAATGATCGCCATCACAACATGTTAATCACAACACCTTACACTCTCAGAAAAAAGGGTGTATTATTACGCCCTTCATCCCATATAATACACCCAAAAATTTCAATTCGACGTACAGCGCCCTATAATCGAACAGGCGACCCAAAATTTTTTGAGGGGCTTGATAGCCATGATGGTGCAACTTATTAAGATAGCTAATGTACGTATTATTGACTACGAAAAAGATTATCGGAATTTTCTGGGCCCTACTGCAAAAACTTCTTGTTTTTTTTCTTTGGTATTTGATACATACTTTAACAATTTAATAAGTTATATCCCACCGTTATCAAGCCCCTCAAAAAATACGGGGCCGTCTGATCGACTACAGAGCGCTGTACGTCGATTTCAAGTTTTGGGGTGTATTATATGGGACAAAAGGGTGACCTCACTTAACTCAACAATAACTTGTCCCAATCAATACCTTTAGCTAAAAACAGACTAAATAATTTAAAAACAAGGTATTTCAGCGTTTGTGTGCCATAGGTTGTTCTCGGTGTGACCACCTCGCAACATTCAGCTCCGCGGGTAGGGTAACTATGAATGTCTTTCGAGATTTGTGCAAGATTTATAAAAAAAAGTTCGTATTTCTAATTTGCTCCACTTTTAGGCTAGTGGCGAGCCTGTAATCATACAATGTGTGGACATTTATGACATGAAATTTTTTTAATACGCTGGCTGTATGAAAGTCAAACGGGACATCTCCTATAGCTCTAAGTGCCTTCTTTTGCAACACATGCTGTTTTTCATGTAGCTTTTGCTGCTTACTGCTTGTAAACTTCGTTTCAGCCTAAATCCAGGCGCAGCCGACGCTACGAGCTAATAGGGAGTTTTCGTAGATCGTTTTCGCCGCCCCGCAAGGCCCTCCGCAACCCGCTACGATAGCGGGAACTCCACAGTCAAGGCTATCGGCGCGCAGGCGCATTAGCAACTTCTTCGTTGCGGAATGCTTAGCGGAGGAGGCAGCGCGGTCTACGAAAACTCCCTATTGGGACAAATCAGACAGCGTCCAAAGCGGAAGTCACTGGCCCTTTCCTGTTTATGGTATTCATTCATAATAGAACACGTCCAAAAACACACAGAAAGCCATCACGGTGCGCTTGTAGCATTGTCTGACTGATTCCGTCAGTTCGTACTCGTAGTGTCGGCTACGTCTGGACTAAAGCTGAGACAGAGAGTGGACTGCTTGGCTTTTACTGCCTGGCTGACGCTCAAAGATTCCAGCTCTTATCGCCAGCCACTGAACAGACGTAAGATATATGAGAGAGAACAGCCTCTCACGTATATTTGGAGCACTTTTCTGTCGTTATTAACGTTCGGCTCTAAACTAGGGCTGAAACTTAAAGTTTGGGCTTCTGTCTTTTAACTCTGAGAAATTGAGATTATGACGGTTGTAGACTCTACAGTCACAGCAACAAGGCCGATGGGCTGTTCCCGCTTATATTTCTTACAACTGTAGTTTGACAATTTACATGCGTCCGAAGGAGTGATGTCAATATCAGTCCTTCGTTTACGTTTTCTTTAAGACCAACTCGTAATCTTGACATGAAACCGCTGAGTGGCGCACCGGAGTTGGGCTGGTTTCCGTCATCTTTGCCAGTCGTCAGAGAAACGTGCAATTGAAGGAGAGCTAGATGGACTCCAAGTCCATTAGCCAGTGCAAACAGCGATCGATGAAATTCGGCGTCTTCATGAAGGACGCATTGTCCAAGTCTATGCCAAGTTCTTTCAGCAGTTTCTTCGTCCAGTGCTTGCAGTTGTTTGTGAACAGGTTGTAATCTTCGTTCTCATTCAAGAGTGCCATGACTTCCATAAGTCGGGCCTTTGGAAGGTTATACTTGCCAAGGTGCACCTGCAAACATGAAACTTGAGAAGTTAAATTAATGCGACTACGGGTTTTTACATTTCTTGATTTTATAGCTCATCTAATGCTAAGACCTGAAATGGAAACGTGCATCTATGCCCATGGCTTATGGGTGAGTGAGCACTGAAATAAACAATGTGAATTTATCTTTATTTTGCCGTTTGCTGCAGTTTTCCTCGAAAACAAACAAACGAACAATCGTATTGGGTACATAATAATTTTATAAATAGAGATGATAATTTGTTTTTCTTGTTAGAACGCCTTCGAAGATTTTAGGTGCCATAATAATCAGTGCTAATAGACCCCTTTCGAAATACGGTACTCTGATAGCAGCTGTGAAATCCCTGCACAATGGCGGACTAAAACATCAACGTCACGGCACACTGGAGAAAACACACCCACAGAAAAAGGTGATGATCGCAGTTACGTTGCACTTTTGACGCTGTTTGATTGGCTCGTCGGCTCGGAATGTTGGCCGCGCTCCAGCGATCGCTATTTTATGGAATGACTTGCACGTTTCTCGATGCCGTCGCTCCGCCATTGTGCAGTGGTTCCGACCGTCTAATATTCAACACGTGACTTTTGAAAGGGGTCTATTCATTGTTTAAATTGACATCATAATGCTTCCCAGACTGGTCAGCTGATATTAAATGAGGTAACGCAATATTTCAGTTGTGTGATATTCGAACTGATTATGTTAGCACAAACATGTCGGCCTTCTTTATCAACAATTAAGTAAGTTTAGAACGAGCTGAATACAAATAGTACCATCATTGTACTAGTCTAATGTGAAATTTTATATTAATTAAAAAACCTTATTTTTTGTGCTTTAAAACTCTTCAGAATCTGAAAACGATGTGTTTTTAGAGTTTGCTTCAAATGAACAACTGATAAAGGAGTCATGGAAGCGTTGCACTATAACGTAAATATATAAAAAAAGAAGAAATCAGCTTTATTAGGAAGCAGGTTATGCAATCTCGAACACGCCTCTTTTCACTCTGACTGTACTTTATAATTACTGCCAAATTTTATTCTGTCAAAAAAAAAAAACATTTATATAAAAAAGACGGCCTATATTCAATTGAGCCTCTTAATTAAATTTATAATGGTTTTATGAACTGAAAATTTAAATATGGCAGTTTGAGATTTTACATTTATTGTTACAAATGAGCAGTAACATTTGGAAGAAAAAGATAAAGCAGACTTCCGTGTAAAAAGACAATCAGTACATGAGACAAGATTCAAATATGTGACTGTGGCGGTCCATAGGTTCAGCCTCGGCGTCGGCACCAGTGAAGACGAGAAAGCTACTCAACGGAACAGGCTCGACGGCACGAGAATAAACGGAATGTTTTCAGTAAACCTCGTAGTCGGTCGCCACTATGGTCGCATCATCTCTTCTGCCCTCATCATCGAACCCGCAACAAATTAGTGTAATGATCGATTCCGAGCACCTGCCATCCATGGGACCACTCTTCGCAGCCCAGGGCTCGGCATGCCTTTTCGGGTAAAAATGCAGCAGCGGCATCTTCCACTTTCCCGGCCTCCGCATTTGCAACCTCCTCGATCGCCTCTGCCCCGTGTTGTCTGCTGCCGGCTAGTTCGAGAAATTGGCTGCGACCACCTCGCTGGCCAAGCCGGCTCGGCAAGTGAACGTTAATTGACATTCCCACACTGTTCACAGCATAGCACCTTGCTAACTGACCAGGGTCTCCTCATCGCTTCTGCATCAGGCATACGCTCTCCGCTCGGTTCCTCATATTCTGGGATAATATTGCTTCGGCTCCACAGCCGACATCTTCCCTAGAGTCTGAAGCTGCACATTCTGTGCTGATCGAGCCGGACAAACAACACGACTGGGTCGATTTTCGCGCTGTCCGCTGCATCATTGCCTGACCTCAGCGTCAACTATCTGCAAGGATTTGAGAGCTGCCTTTCCTGCTCTCGCACACGTCGCCCTGCTCGTGGCAGACGGAAACACCAATAACTATTCTCTGGAGCCACAACTGGTACTGCAACGGAATCGTTCCATCACCCGCTGGCTACAGGCGGCGGCTCTAGGGGGGGGGGGGGGGGGGGGGGGGCGGGGGCAGCTCATCGGTTCAGTCTCGGCACCGAGGAAGACGACATAGTTACTCGTCGGCACGAGCTCGATCGCACATGAACAAACAAAATGTTTTCATCTAAACTTGCAGTCGATCGCACCATATATCTCCCGCCCTCATCATCGAAAAGGCTACAGGCACTAAGCAAGAAACACAAATCAAATGAAACGCATAAATGCTAAGATCAGACATACGGCGAATGTTCAGGTCTGGCTATCATGGCGGCGAAGCTTAGGGTCGGCAGCTGGAGCGGAGCAGGGTTGACAGGATCCCGTGGTTCGATGGCTCTCTCAAGCTCTTCCCTCAGAACTTCGGCGATGGACAGCGACGTCGGTGGGTCGGCAGCAGGCTGTAGTTTCTCGAGTTTTTCGCGTACGACTTGGCAGACTATCTCGCGAAGCTCGTCGGCGCTGGTGCTGAACTCGGAGCTGGCCGATGCCAGAGTTGAAACGTCGTTGAGCTGATGATAGTTGCGCATTCGGGCCATTAGCGCCCGCTCGGTGTTTGTCACTTCGGCAACAAATTCTTCAACGGTCGTCAGGGGGTTGCGAATAAGTCCGCCGAAGATTTCTCTTTTCACGCCTCTCATAAGGAAGCCCAACTTTTTTTGGTCAGCGGCTTGCGGGTCGGCGCGGCTGCACAGGCGAAGGATGTCTGCAACGAAAGTGGTGACCGTTTCGTTAGGGTCTTGAGTCCTCGCCTGTAGAAGGTCTTCGGCCCGCTGCCTACGATGCTGATTCATGAACGCCCGGTTCAGCTCGGTGACGCAGGCGTCCCACAACTTGACCGTAGCCTCTTGGTTCTCGAACCAGTGCCTCGCAGTACCCTCCAACGAAAAGTAGAGGTTTTGCAGGTGCAGCCGCGGGAAATATGAAGGTGAACACCTTACCTGGTTTATTGCATGTTTTACGGCTCCCTAAAGCTATATTAACTCTCAACGTCTCAAATGGTAGGTGGCTTGGGGTCTAAACTTTGCGTTCTCTTTTGGAACAGAACGTGTTCTAAAACTTGCAGGAGTGCCAAAAACAAGAAAAGGGCTGTTCACCTTCATATGGCTCACGGGTATACTGCTCGGCAGTCGATTTGTTATGGCGTGCCACGCGGTCGTGGTGTTGGATCAAGTCGTCGACGTTCTCGTGGATCTCGCCGTGGAAGGGCGTCGGCGTACGAGGGGCGATGGGCAGGTAAACGACGGCGGCGGCGGTCAGGGTCTGCGATGACTGGTGGCTTATCGTCGGCCTCGTTGGCTGCTTGGTTTTGATTGGCAGAAATCCGAGTTCCGGGGGTAGCCCTTGGCTGCGGCGACTTAATCGGGTCTTGGTTGTGTCTTCGTTGCGTCTTCGTGGGCTTGGTGTCGGACTTCCACTGCGGGCCCTCGGAGGGGTACGCTGCAGGGATATGCGTTACCCGCAGCTCCACCAGAAATATAAAAAAACGAAGGTGACGAGATAACGAACAGTGAAGTGAAAATGAAAGTTTAATCGACGGACTTTGCCAAGCAAAATAAATAACAAGCGTCGAGGCAGCGGAAAAGCGGCGATTAGACGACGAAACAGCAAGCGAGAGCGAGACTGGCTCGACAAGATCGCGGGCCGGCCGCTTCTTGTCAAAAGTGCGTCAGCACCTGAAATGTTCGGCAAAGAAGCTTCGAGCGTCGCGGGCTCGGGGCGAGAATGAACAGGCACTTTCTAGTGCAAGAAACAATGGCGAAAGGATGAAAATTACGCCCCGAGTAAAAATAAACGGGAATCTTCTGAAATTCCGTGACCAAGCGTTGCTTGCTGGGCCCTGAGCGCGGCAATATTTAACTTGCCTGAACCCTCAAAACACTCGGAAATACGTGACAAAACATAGTGAGTAATTTACGAGAATATGCTTACCTTCTAAAAGCGATGTTTATTTCACAATCTTGTTTCAATGCTTTTCGAAAAAAAATTGTTTTTTACCCTTTGGGGTTTGTTTGCCGCAAAATCGAAATGTTCGTAAAAAATTAAATGAAATAAATAGCTATATCAAAATTATCTTGGAAAGAGTACTTTTACATCACCAATACCACCTAGAATTTTTTAGACAGAATCCTTGAGGGTTGAATTTATTCCTGGATCGTTTGGCGTGAACTGACTCAGAAATGAGACGTGACTGCACAAACGGTTCTTCATTTTTTAATTCTTAAATATTTTAACTTCGAGTTGAAATATTATACGATGCTATGCCGTGTATATATGCTACGTTGTGCACCTCTGACAAGAGCCATGCACAATATGAAGCAGACGAAACTCATTAACTGGTTATGCTTTCCCTTGCCTGCGCAACTTTGGCTGCGACGAAGCTATAGTACTCAGTATAAAAGAATGTTGCTTACCTTTGGGGTCATCCGCTCCCACATCGTTTGATTCTTTTCAGGCAACAGACGCAAGTACGACTTCAGCTTGCCTCCAACTTCGGTGGCTTCGCAAAGAAACGTTAGGTCATCATAACACACCAGGACCGACCAGTGCTTTAGAGACGTGCACAGAGAACATTTGGATGAGCTAGAAAAGGACCGAGTTGAAGAAAAGAGTAACCTGGCGCTTGTAAGCCCGATGTCTTCGAAACAGACGTAGACATCGCACAGGGTTTCGTGCGGCATCGTTCTGAGCTCAACGGCGGATTTCATCTTGTTTTTTGAAAAGGTCGACATGGTGTTCTACCCTTTTTTGACTTTAACGGTGAAAAATGACCTAGATGAATGGCGGGAGCGGCTATTCAAAAGTGGAGTCGGTCTCGACGGCGCTTGCCTGTGAAGGTTGTGCGAATAATGATCTTCGACAAGAGGAGCTTTTTCTTGCCTACCCGCTTTAGAGCTCTGTGCTCTCTTATCGTTACATTATCGGTGCGTGAGGTCGCTTACCTGGTGTTTTTGTCTCCCGCCCCGCCGTTATGTATTGTGGATAATGTTACCGCATTATCCGAACAGCCAAAGCAGTATACAGATACAAGGAATTGTCACGGCCGAACTATATTGGATATACTGTTCTTTCTTCTTCAGTAGAAGAGGCCGCTTCCGATAGCGTATCAGTTCTCAAAATATGGGAAAACGGAATCATGATATATATAGCGACATGAGACAATAAATTGAGCTAAGACAGCAGACACGAACGTGCGGAAAGTCGCCATATAGAGGGGTCTGTCCTGGGGCTCCTTTTATGTCTTATTTTTATGAACGACCTGGGTTGCCGTGTTAAAGCGAAATTAAGAAAGTTCTCGGTCGACTGTACCTTGTTCCGCGATATGAAACAACCAGAAGACAAGCTTTATTTCACTAAACCTTTGCAGGATTTCTGAAACTGGTGCTCTGCCTGGCAAAGGTCATTTAACCCAACCAAAAATGTCAGTGTGACCATAGCTAGAAAAAAGTGTCCGTTTACGTTTTGCTAAACAATAAACAATCTTCTCCCAAGCCTCTCGAACTTTAAATGCCTTGGCGTAACACTTTCAGCGGACCTATGGTGGAGCATTCATGTTGATACAACTGTACGCCAAGTCCAAGGCCAACTTTGGCACCTAAAACCCAATCTAAAGCATTGCACCAGATCAACTAAGCTGATTGCATAAACAAAACCTTGCTTCGCCCAGTACTCGAGTACGTATCAGCCGTTTGGGACTATCCTACACAAGGAGATACAGTCATGTCTCCTTAATACGACCCCGTTAATATGAATGCCCCGCTATATGGACACCCTTTTCGAGGGCAAACTGGGAAAATGCATGCATATTTGGCTTGTTATTATGGACAACTCACATTATAACATATTTGGGAGGAACAGAGGCGTCCATATTACCGAGGCATCAGGGTGTAAACAAACTGGAAATGGTTGGAAGGAAAGTACTACGTTTCATATATAATCAATATATGTAACAACCTTGACACTCTTTCCCCTCTTTACGCACAAGACGGTTGCACACGCCACGTCCTGGAAAAGCCCACTTTGGCTGCTGTGCGCCTCTGTTGAAAAGTGAAGGGATCCAAGGCGCGGGGCAGAGCAGTTTCGCCACTCCTGTGTCCTGTAACGGCCACGTACGGCATACGTGGGTCATCGCAAGCGCCCGCGTCTCGTCCTGTCCAATCGCAACCCGGCTCCAGAGATTCCTCTGCGCGTGCAGGGGGGCGATACTTCAACTCTGCGAGCAAGCTCGCCTGAATGGTGCGTGCCTCTCTGGCAAGTGTTTCCATGTTTCCAGATCAGTGAAGTCACGTCCGCACAACTAGGTTTTAAAGCTAAGGTGGCACTGGCGGATCGCCCTAGCTACCTTCTCGGCGTCTGACGCTGTAGGTTCGGCTCTGAAGTAGAGCTTCTGGAGATCGGGGATGTACTTTATGAGGCTCTTGTCCGGGTGTTGAGTACGGATGACTAGCTCATCTCTGATCCGTATCTTATAATCGGGAGGCAGATATTCCTCCCTGAACCGTGCACGTAAATCTTCCATCGAAAGGAACGGCCTCTGCATTCGTCTCCAACGTGCTGCGTTGCTCGTCAACGCGATTGGGATAATCCGTATCAGGGCCATCACTCCGGACGCGCTCGACCCGGCAGTGTACGAGTCTATATCCTGCAGAAATCGTGTACCGATGTTCCGTCGGAGCAGCCCGAATAGGCCGGCGTCAGCACACTCAACCGTGGGCGGAGCACGGGCGTAGGCACGGGATTCATCACCCTGGGGCCAAACCCATCTGTCAAGAAAACGTCGCGAACATCGCCGTCATGGCGTGCATTAGATCGCTGGTGTTTTCCTTGTTCACCGCTGGAACTGGGGACTCTAGCGCTGCCTCAACGCTCGCTTGCCCACTCGTGCCTTCTCTCATGTCCGAGTCAATGTCTGCCACTGACCGGGTTGAGGCCTCTGGCGAGGTGGCCTTATTCCGAGACCTGTACATGGCGGCAGAACATTAAAGTCACTGGTGTCCAGTGGGGTAACAAAATTTCTATAGGAAAACTTCCCGCCTTTCCATTCTGTTGAAGAAGGGAGACCAGTGAAGCTATACTATGGTGGGAATAAAGTAATGGCCTGCCGCAAGTCGGCAAGCCAGAGTAGAAAGGCTAGAAAAGTTGCCACCATCAATAAATAACGGCGGCGACCAGACAACCGACAAGCCCGTTGTCTGGTTGCCGCCGTCGTTTATAGATGGCAGTAAATGTCCAAAGTTTTGTGTCGGCATTTGTTTGCCCTCAGACACGACACTGGGGAAATTAGCTCTTAACAGCACCGCTGTAAAAAAACAAAGGAATCCTAAATTTAGATATTGCGATTCGTGGGACTCCCTGGGAGCGAACAGAAAGAGCGGCAGACTGATCGGGCCCCACGTTGGAAGCGCCAGTCATGTGGGTCGCCCGTCGATATTGCCCGATTAGGCCGAATCCCATTCACACCGAGGAGGTTAGACGGGGAAGCGCTATCATCACAGAAAGGTTTAATCGATGCTCATGTATCGATGAGTCCTCGGAGGTGGGCCAAGGTTGGCAGTGGTGCGGCTCTTTTCTGTGGGCTCGATGTCTTCGACTTTTCGCCTTGAGTCCTGGTCTTGTTCTGCCTCGCGCTTCGCCCCGCCACGAGCCTTGTCTTTCTGTCTTCCTCTTCTTTCTTTTCTTCCCACCAGCGGCGCCGTCTCTCCACGTGCCGTGCGGCTTCTTGTACCGACAGCTTAGACGTGGTCGTTGTGAGATGTTTTGAAACAATAGCAGACAACAGTGTTGAACTATCGAAAGTAGTAGATCCATTGGTATAAACATGACTCGTTGAAGCGTGATTATACACAATGTTATATAAACTAAGTTGCATAATCGCAAATATTGGCGTGTTTGCTTTTTCTTTCTACCTTTTTCAACTGTGACATGAGGCTCAGGAACTCTCCATGGTGGCGCTTTTGAAATTTTAGATGGCGCAAGATCATCGGGAACAAAGGGTACCATTTGGGACAGAGCTCTTGAGGGGCTTGATTATTGTCCTTTTAAGTCATTATTGGCAAAAGGGAATTGCCATGTTTTGCACTAAGTCTTAAATTGGCTCTTACTTTTTATAATATATAGATATTCTAGTCGTGTTTCTTGAGCCTCTGCAATTGTGACCATGACCGAAGTACCAACCAGAATTCCAAGACAAGTTAAACGCGAAGAGCACGTGCTTCTATTCTTTTCATTTTCTTTGGGTTTGTTTGAAACATCGCATAAAGAATGGGGAGACACTACCGAAGCAAACCTAGTAATAGAGCCCCAATTTAACCGCAGGAGAGCCGGTACTGTCGCGCTCAACATAGTGCCGCTAATAAAAAAAAAATGGCCGACAAAGTTTGTGAGCTTATTGCTTTTAACTACGTAATATGATGTGACCATGTCTATCCTCTGCTTATAAACACAGGAACATTTTTCCCGTTACGTTGATAAGTGTTTGGCCGCATAAACGTAGCGGATATCTCTCCACTTTACGTAGGCTAAACGCGATGGCAGATGATTTGGTGACAAATTTCAGGGCCTCGGTAGCAAAGGTATTTATGGAGCCCCTTGAAATATATTTGTACTCTTGCCTTTGCTTTCACCCGAGTAGACAGGATGCCTATATCTGGATATATCTGCAAACAATTACAAACTAAGGCGGAATAGTAGCAATTGATCACGGCAAATTAGTGTTATATTAAATAGTGTTAAGTCTAAGAAGCCTCCCTGAGGAACACCTCGAGTGAAGTAGTGAACGACGGATTTACGCTCTCATGATATCATAAAGATTGCAACTTTTGAAAGGTAACTTTTTACCTATGCGTAGGAACCACTTTCCAAACCAACTTCCCGTAGCACTTGTAAGATAGCATCGTGTATGACATGATCGAATACCCCGTTCACGTTCAGTAAAGCAGCGATCGTGATTTTACATGGCACTCATCCTCTTCTACAAAATTAACACGGTCGAGAACATAACCTATTGAACTCCGTCCTCTCGGGATACCATACATTCTTTTGGGGCACACATATTGTTCCTCGAGATATGCTAAGCGACTATCAATAATCTTTCCCATCGATTTTTCTGCACCGGTTTCAAATGCCACATGGCGCGGTCCCGACTTTCCTGTTTTCAGTAAAAGAACACTTCTTGCCCGTTTTCATGCATCGGGTACTTCTCCATCTGCCCAAGATTGATTAAAACATTTTAGCAGCTAAATCCTAAGACCGGCCCCCATGTGAGCTAAGAAGGCGTATGTCATGCCATCGGGACCGGGACCAGATATTGGATTTATGTATGGAAGGGTTACTTCTAGTTCGCCTTAGTGAATCATTATAACTCATCCAAGTTCTTTTCGTAAACTGCAGGTTCATTACTCATTTACATTCTGGTGTCATTTTTCTGGGTTGCGTTTCCCGTGAGAGAGATGCGGAACGCGTAGGCCTCCCCTGTTGACCAGGAGGCACTGGGCAAAGGAACTTGGTAGGCCTTGTTTTGGGTAGTACAATCATGAACATCAGACTGCGCTTTTTGTTCTAAACATATGTTTCCGCATCGTCTTTCGCTGAGCTGCCTCCATAAGTTGCGCTGATTGGCTCTCCGAGTGTTGTGCGTGAAAGTAGACGCACAGACATTTTTTAGAGTGTGGACATTTGGCGAAAAAGTTGTCGAGAAATCTGGCAGCCGTGATTGGTCAACTCCGCGCTTGACTTTGGCGCCGGCTTTTTCTCGCTGGAGTTCTCGCCGACTTTTTCGCCAAGTGTCCAGATTAGGGCAGCTGCTCTGGTGCGGAACGCAATACCGATGAAAATGCAAAAAAAAAAA